GAAGCCCAAGTGCCAAAGTAGAAACTGACAATTTTCCTACTCAATATCCCAGGATATCTACTCTAAATTAATATCCTTTATCCTGAAAATTCACCCTTTGTGCAACTGTATACCGACTGCCACTTGAAGAATCAGATTGAATCCTGAAACAAACATGGAGGCACTCTTCTGTCCAGTCACCACTACCCACTGGTCAAAATACAGTAGAACTTCTATTAAGTGACCACCTGTTAAGTGGCTAACCCCTGTTAAGCTGCCATTTATCAAATTAAGTCCCAAAATTGTTGTCAGGAAAATACCATAAATAAAACCTCTTTTAACAGGCCACCTCTATTGAGCACACAGCCACCTTTTGGTCATGCAAACGAAGGTTTTCTATTACCCTTACCCCTAATAAAGAGCCAGAGAAAAATAGGGGTTCAACTGGATACACGTACGACTACAAACCATCAACCAAATGGAATAGAAGAATACATAAGTCCACACAAGTACGCATTGCGCAGTGGTACCTGTCCTACATTTTGTGATATCTTCATGCTTAGGTGTAACCAACACTGTTTTCCGTGGTAGTACACCCCCCACAGTTTTGTCAGGTCACCCTCGCAATGCACCCCTACCCATGAAATAAGCATTTACGAAAAAAGGCAGTTGTTAGATTTTGAAACATTTCACTCAAAAAAGCATGGCCATGTTTGACATCTTGAATATCCCTCAACTTCTTGTTTTATGTCGGGAGCAAAAACCATTCACACATATCAGGCCTCTAAAGAGTAATCCAAAGATTGGGTTGTCCCGGACACAAAATATTGCTTTATAATATAACGATGGAAGTCGGCAATAATAGAAGAGATCATCAAAACATTGGTCCACAATGAATTAAAAATTTCTCATTTAACAGAAAATTAATCATTTTGCAAGACTTTAACCAATAAAATCATGATTCAGGAGAAAAAAAATGGTCATAGACATAGGAGCGTGCAACTCCCCTACTAAGCAAATGTCACGGCATTTTTACAGACCGGTCTAATTTTAGGCTTCTTTTCCCACGAAACAGGTCAGTTCTGGCAGGTCAGGTCAGCGCGCATCTGTAAGGGAAAAAATTGCTGGTTTTTTTTTTCTTAATCTTCTGGTGAGTCAAAAATTGAGTCTACTTGTGATTGGTCACTGAGATTCCTGTGGGGGTCTAAATAAGCGGTAAATTCAAACTTAAAATAGATCGGTCTATGAAAACGCCATGACAGGAATATGGCTGTGGTAGTTGCATGCTCCTAGGGATGGGCTCCTGATATTGTACATTTCATGTGCAAAATAAGGCCATCATGGCTCACAAAAGTACACCCCACTGACTTGTAAGTGATGAGAAATAGGATGTTTTCTTCTTCATCTTTTGCAGTGTTTATTAGTGTTCATAACTGGGGCATTCCCAATCCTGGCATACTGTGCGAATAAACATGGATCACAATATTTTCAAGAAATTATCCGAGAGTTGCTAGGACCAAGAGCCTACTCTGCAACACAGATTGTAGTCCTGTTAAATATGTTCGGTGCCACTGTTGCATATATGATTTTGATTGGTGATCAGTTGGAAAAAGGTACGTGACCTTATATAGCATACCAGTAGTCACTTGCTCACTCATACCAATAGGCCACGATCGATATATTGATATTCTAATATGGCTCCAAGGCTT